GTGTGTGTGTGTGTGTGTGTGTGTTGTCGTCTATTTGCACTGTGACCCTAAAGGACGACAACAGAGATGAGTCATCGTGTTTACGCAGGTTTTAACTAAAGGTTCTGCTGCTTCGCCTTTTTTTTTTTAATGTCATCCTTCAGCTGCACCTTTTTAAAATCTCCCTCCAAGGTTTATTCATTGAGTTTGTTTGAAACACGACAAATAAACAAGTTCAGGATTTTGTCAATGCACATCTTCAGCACTTTGTACATGAACATTAAAGTGGTAACACTTCGAGTGTGATTTATCTGAACTGATCCTTTAAACCGTCTCAGAGGACGAGGGTTGTATTTGTTCTCCTGCTTCCTGTAACTCTACCTCCCATCACAGCTCAGCTCCCTCCTTCATCTGCACGACTCCCTCATCCTGCTTTTCTCTTCCTGTCTCTCTCTCCCTATCTGACATTTATCTCATGTGCTCATTCTCCCGCCTGCGTTTTGCTCTCGTGCTCCCGTCAGCATCTGTCCCACGTGACGAAGTAACAAATAAAAAGGGGCACAAATGATGTTCAGGCTCATCGGCTCGTTCCAGAATCGATATCGTGTGGCGTTGTCTTACAGACTTCCTCGTCCTGGTGGAGACAGAGATGACAAATCATATCTAATGATAAACCCTGTGGACGGAACAGCTCTGTCACAGTCAGCATGTGATTCTGAGAACGCCGTTTCCATTTGGAAACATCACGACTGTGCTTCACAGCCAACATCTGCACACGCTAATACAGGAACACAGGAGGTTCCATCACCACTGACGAGGAGCAGACTTTAATAACGTCACAAAGCATCGAACTACAGCAGGTTCATCACTTTCCCCTGGAAATATTTCCATTGTCGTTTCCGCTATCTGCATCTCAGCCACCGTATTCACGGGCTCTTTGAACATTTCATGCTTCAGGTATGAAGGAGGCCAAAGACAAATAAATCACATCCACCCTTGTGGTTTCATGCATCTGTCACGTTTGTGATGCAGCCAAGGAGCCAGGTTGTCTTCTTCACACCTCCGAAGACAATGGGAGCCGCCAACAACTGGACAAAGGCCTGTGTTGTGAGTGCTGTATCTGTGGGAAGCTCTGAGGTGTGAATGTGACAAATGTAGCGGCAGTGAGACTTGTTTGCTAATTAGAGGGAAATAGCTCGTACTGCATTTTAAGATTTGCTAATTCTCTCGTTCGCTGGAGGCGGAGGTCAGGGTCAGACAGTGCAGCAAACAGCTTGTGAGCGTGCTGAGACTCCACACGGAGAAGCTAAGGGAAATAATTAAGAGCCAAGAGGAGAATGTGCCGAGCTGAAGAGATTGTTGAGATTGACTTTGGTTTCTTTGAAGTGAGGGCAGAAACTTCTCTCGGGGTCACGGAGGGAACGTTGCTCGCCTTGCGTGCCAACCCGCTCACAAGTTCTCTTTGTTCTGTCAACTTCAATTTTCGACACACACGTTCTCTCCCACTGCTACCATACGGCAACTCCAATCTGTCGCTGCTGGCAGCCGTCTGGAGCGCACCATCCTTTTTTTTTTCACACAAGAGTTCTGTTGTCTGCGGTGTTGGAAAGTTGTGCTGCGTGAACGCCAAACAGTGGCAGTCGCAGTGAATTCAGCTCGACTGAGTCCAGGAAGCGCCAAAGGATTAAGCTCGACAGAGAGGGAAGAAGTGGCTGCAGCACAGGATTTAAATGCAGAATAACCAAAACACTGTGTCTGTGATGAGGGTTGTGGTCGTTTGGTGCATGATGTGCGGCAGCGCTGTGGGCGTCCTGGAGCTGATGTTTGACGTGCAAGTAGATTTGGAGTTCTGACAGATCAGGGTTGAGGGAGACAGGTGAGAAACTAAATAGGCTGTTACTCATTTGAATGTTCCTGCGTCATCTCTGCATTAGTGTCACAGCTGCTCCCAAAACACAGCCGCATCAGGCTCATCGGATTTTTTTATGTGCTTGTTTACACTCTCTCACAATCGGAAACACAATCCTCTCAGCTGATGCATCTCCGAGCGCTGGATTGTTTCATTCAGGATCAAGTTACAGATCTGTCACCGGGACTTATCGGTGGTGAGTCACAGAGCAGATGAGGATTTCCTTCTCTGACACCTCACAACACTGAAACACGCATCCCAGAGGAAATGATACACGTGTGAGAGTAAAATGTCGTGTGGCCAAATGTGCAGGAGTGAGAATATGGTTACAGGATAGTTAACATGGAGGGAGGGTACGGAGGTCGTGCAATTTAATAAACAACTGCAGAAAGTCACAACACATGCGAATACAATGTTTTGAAGTTATTGAAGTCTGCGTCTCATGGATCTTCACAAAGTATTGAACTTCAGCAGGTTCATCACTTTTATGGGTCCCACATTTCCAATGTTGTTATATTATATGTGTCATCAGCGCTGGAATATCCTGTGTTTTTTCTGGTGTCCTCTGAAAAAAGATGACAAATGCTCCTTTCTTTCATTCACAGGCATAAAGAATAGTGAGCTGTCCCACGAGCACGTTTGTATCCCTGACATGCAGCACCAGCAGAAAAACAAAAACACAAGCCGACAAATAAAAGAAGAAAAGGACAGAAAGAACCTCTCCTTGTTTTAGACTCTGCTCCATCTCGTTTCTCTGTCCTCATTTCGTGCCCAGAGGAGGTCATGTCCCAGTCTGGGAAAGTCCTTCATCTGTATGTGGAAGTGAGGCCTGCCCCAGATCAGAGCGGAGGAAAAGGGGCATTTAGAGAAGATGAAGGAGGGATTGCTTCGGTTCAGGACGGTCCTGCGGAGCTCCTGTCTCAGCTAACGGCCCAGACGACCTGTCAGATGGCCACACATTCCTCCCCTGCTCATCGTCTGGTTCAGGACTGCTCACAGAGACCGTCAGCATGTCGGAACACTGAGACTTTCCCGCTCCATCAGTCCAGCAGCTCACCCACAGGTAGCAGGAGGAGCGATGGAGTCTCTGTCCTCCGCTCTTCACCAGTGCCACCTCCCTCCGGAAGGATCACCCTCCCTCACACACCTCCCGGCTGTCGGAGGTTAAACGAGAAGGAAGTCAGCGACGGGAAACACTCCGTGGTCACCTTCAGTTACATTGAGAAGTCCAACGTGAAGACGGTGGACAGTCCACGCATGAGGGGGACCAGAGAGGAAAGATCCAACACCTCCCACTTTCGTAAACGGCTCAGCGACCCAGTTTGGTTTGGGAGTCCCGATTCATCGTGCAGCTCAAGTCCCAAGTTGACTTTCCAATCACCAGGAAGTCACCAGCAGACGTTCTCTCCCAGCTTTCGCCAACCAGCCTTGGACCCCATCGGCCGGGCAGCTACCCAAAGAGCTGTGGAGGAGTTTGGCTCCCCTTTGTTGAGGATTAAACTGGCCCATGCACTTGAGCAAACCTCATTTTCACGCTGCAGCAAACAGCCACGCTGCCAGTCCTGGGCTGGCTCTCCTGTTCAGCATCAAAACATCAGCCCCAAAGACCACTTCACAGATCGCAGCCAGGCCATCTTGGGGCTGCCTCGGAGCCCAGCGTCGGACCAGCTCTCCTCCCAGTCTAGACAGTCCTCTCAATCCAGGCCTGGGTCCTGTGTGGAGACCCAGAGCCCTCGTCACTGGTCGGGGGAGGAGAGGGCGGCGGTGGGAAGCCCAGCCACCAAAAGACACATCCACAGGACCTGTAACAGGAGCTCTTCACCACAGGGAGCGATCCTTCAACTTGGCAATAATTTAGTGGAGGGCTTGAACCAGTTAAGCGACAGTAAATCCTCGTCTCCAGCTCACAGCCCTGAAGTTGCTCGCAGGCTCGCAGAGGAGGCTACCAAAGTATCTTCCATTTTATCTGAGGCGAGGAGGTCCTCGATGCACAATGCTTTAGGTGAGATCACAAGCAGCTCAACCTCTGGAGGGTTTCACAATTTGCCTCCAAATGCACAAACGTCTCAGCAAATGCTTAAGATGAACATCCCTTTAAACGACAGACACATGCCAGCACCTGACAACACAGACGCTCACCAGCCTGAAAACTCCATCTTGCAGTCACTCAGTCATTCATATGAAACAAACTCTCGTGCTAATTACGACCAGGTCCTTCAGAAACCTCAGCATCAGAGCTCAGTTTTTTCTGCAGCTCAGAGTTCACCTGCGCTTCCCTCGCGTTTCCTCCGTCCCTCTCATCCTCCCACTGAGATCTGCTCCCCCGTGAGGGATCCCAGGTTATTCCAAGCTGAGCTCCGAGCACCGGATACCCCCACCCTGCATCGCCGGCTGCCCCCACAGTACACCGGGGACTCCTGGTCTCCGAGCCTGGACAGGACAGAAGACCTGAGCTCTTTTGAGAAAGGGGATTGCACTGAGCTTGCTCGTAGGCTCTTTATCAATCAAAGTGTTGAGGAGGCACCGGTCAGCTGGACGTCCAGGCAGCAGTGGGGGGATCATGTAAAGAACAACCCAAGGCCAAGCTCCGAGCCTGGATTTTGTTCCAACAACGACAAGCCTCCTGATGGTCACTCCAGCCAATGTCGCAGGCCGCTCAGCCCCACAGCCCAGCAGAAACGGGCTGAGCAGAGGAGGAGGGAGATCCTGCTCCTGGGACCAGTGGTGCTGGACTCCCCAGAGGAGGATGAGGGCTGTGATGAAGAAGGATACGGCAATGACGTGGAGGGATATGGGGCAGGGCAGCAGCCTCGTCAGCGGAGGATCGAGGAGCCTCCTGAGGCGGAGCAGAACGGGGGGATGGGGGGGTCGTCCTCCCGGAGCTCCAGCGGGGTGACGGGCAGCCTGGGCGACAGGGACTGTGTGTCGCCAGAGTCCAGTCAGTCCAGTCACCAGAGCAACGAGACTGGAGCTGTGACCTCAGGAATACAGGTGAGTCTCCAAACTGCCTCCAGTCTTAATGCTAAGCTAAGCTAACTGCTTCTTGGTATCGCTGCTAACTCTGACTTGTGTCTTTCCTGAAATCCTCTGTGGCCTCTGTTTTGTGTCTGTGTGCATGTTTTAGACGGATAGCGGCTGCACTGTGCCCGTGCCCTCGCTCCACTGTCAGAGGATCGCTCGTGCCAAGTGGGAGTTTTTATTCGGGACCCCTGCTGAGGAGGCTGCTAGCAGGGGGGAGAAAAGTGAGAACATGTCCGCCTCTGGTTCCTCTCAGCTTTAAAATGTTACACCAGTTTATTTATAAATGAGATTTACAATCTCATGATCAGAAGAGTTTCTTACAGAATTTAATATTTACT